TTATATGTAAATTTAACTTATAATTCTCCCTTTTCCTCTGTCTATTTTCTCATGGGCTTAATTAAAATTATGCAAATTTTCGCATAACATATTTCAAACATATAACGCAGAAATTATGCAGGTTTGTGTTATTATTCACGTTTATAGAATGATACTAATCAACTCAATTTCCCTAAGGGATTGACCTCACACAGCGTCCTCTATGGAGAATCGCATGTATTACAAAAGTAAAATACAACATTAACAATTTTAATGATATAATATTCCTGAACATTTACATTTGCAGTTATTCCGTTTTCGTGACATAATCAAAATTTCTAAAGAGAAGAAAGTGTTTTATAGGAAATTTTCTGTACTGCATATATTACCATCATAACGGCTGGCAATTGCAATCGCGATAATACCAACTGCCACGTATCCTTATGATGTGTAAACATGTTTCACAAAATAAGAAAAAAATATTATTGTATAGACAAGTTATTATATGTGAATTAATTTAAAAATAATTTGAACAAACATGTAAATTATATCCAGCGACGATATTTTTTGAAATTCACATATGAAAATAAATTTTTATTAAGACTATCAAGTTTTTACTCGTAATAATAAATAAGCAATAAATAAAAATTAATGAAATATGTTATCAAAATTTATAACGATAATATATAACAGACAATAATTTGCGATATCGTAACCTGTTGGCACTTGAGAAACTGCAAAAATACTAAAATAAAGAAAGGCAACAGTACAATAAGTGCAACAAAACGCCGAGAGAAACTCGTTACTTTTTTTTACAGTGAAACGCGTATATATTTTTCTCCTGCCTGATTCATTCGTGATATCAGTAAGAACGTTTATATTTTGCAAAAAATATATAAGAAATATTTTGATGGAGAAAAGAAAATCAGAAAATTGCAGACTTTAATATTTCTGTTAATTTAATAATTTCGCAAAATATAAATAATAAATAAAAATAATACATAAAATAAATATGAAAAATCTAATTGTTTAAAAATACAAAATGGAATGGAGTTAAAAATTGAATCATACAAAAAAATAGAAAGTGAACAAAAATATTAAACATTAAATAGAAAATTATACAGATATTGTATATAAATTTTTTAACAATAAGATATGTTATCAACTTTCAAGATAATGGCATTTTATCGATTACGATCAATTACTGTGTGCATTACTCAGATGCACGTTTCTCAATCTCCTATATAATAATCTATCAGAAAGATATTATTTTGATTCTAGGTTTTCTCAACAGTTAAATAGAAATCGTATTGAAACATAAAAGAACAGATATTGCTCAATAATATTCAAAGTAAAATATCATAAATAAACACACACGGTCTATCAATGTAATAATATATTATTAATTATTATTTTAATACATATTAAATAAATATGAAATAAAAATCATAAAAATAAAAGTTTATCGAAAGTTGTTAATACATTCTAAATGCATGTTTGTTTATATAAAGTTGAAGATTTCAATATACGATTCAATTAATTTTTTAAAGAGTTTAAAAATCCTTACAACAATCTTTAAATCTTTACAAAGGATTATCATTAAAGTTGTAACATTCTTAAGTGCTTGAAAAAGTGCATTACTGGTATCTCCGTTCACAAGAACACGTCATGATATGTAACTTTTATCGATTCTTATCATTCTCAAGTATGAGGCAGGTATCACATAAGATATATCACAAAGAAACTCGACTGTCAACGACATAAATGAGATCTATTTTCTAACAAATAACAGTAAATTCAATTTATCAAGGATGAAAACAAACCGTACTCTAATATTTACATAATAGTAGAGTTCATACAACTGTTTACATAAGCAAGATATCGGTGAGCGAACTGCGGTTATTGACGAATGAAAATTACATCAAAGAGAAATTAGCATGTCTTATTTACACGCATTTAAATGCGTCAGATTTTCTCTAAACTTGATATTCGATACTCCTCGAGAAGACGAGATCTCTTTAGTCATCTCTAGCTCGCGTATGCGAGACCGCGCGACCGAACCCCTCGATTCGCAAAAGAGCTCTCTACGGCGGAGGGAGAAGAGGAGGGGAAGGGGAAGGAACCAGGTCGTCGCGTTACGCACCTGTCCGGCATGCAAGGGCGCCTCCGTGCCACTTGTTGCACGGCCACGCTCGACACCCGCCATTCAAATGAAAACGACTCCGAAACTCGGAGCACGCGCGCGAGCGACACTCCGTTTCCAGGAGGAGGAGGAGGGGAGGAGAATTTTACGTACCGGTATGGTCGGATGGGTCCTGATTCCCCTGGGTCCTCGGTTCCGGGACGGTCGGCTGTTGTCCGGGGACGGTACCGATCGCTGCACTTGACACCATCACTAGTCGCTCGCACGACTCGGCCATTTTCAGATTAACTCTCACCTCGCGTCGTTAAACCGCGGCGTCGCGACGACTCGCCTCGCGCACTCGACAGACGCACCGGGCCCGGTTTCGTATCGGGTCCCGATTTTTCGAAACTTCCACGCACGCCTGGCCCGCGACGTTGGCGGCGCGCTGACATTAGGCCAGATGGCGGCATCGCCGTGATCCGCCTCCGGCGACATCTCGCGGACAGATTCCAACGACGCTTTCACGATCGAATTTGACGGGTAACGACGAGCCCGACGTTACCGACCGCACTGGCACTCCACTCGAGTTCGAATATCCCGCCATGGCGAAATTTGCCTAAATTTTAGAGCGTTCTTCGCATCAACGTGATGCAACGTATAATCGCGCCGATCGATCAGATACGGATAAAACGATCGCCCGCAATTCGATTCGGCACTCCCGACACTCGTCCACGCGCGAGATTCCGTCGCGAAAAACGCACTTGCATCGGCACTTGCACAGAAGCAAATGCACCTACGCCATTTTGTACCCTTATCCGTTTGGCGATTTCCGACGCGATATACTTCGGATGTCAATCACGAAAGATACATACAATCGCACTCGTGCCGGTTGATTGATACGAGAAACCGATCACGAGTAACTCGATTCGACACTTGTTTGAACGCGAGATTCACTTTTGACGGATAAAAAGGCACGATAAACGCGGAACAATCCGGAGACGCGCACGAACCGGAGAGTACTGAGAAGTTGCCGCGAGTTGATCACGTGATGTCAAATCTCTCTGGATGACGTCGACCATAACTGATTTCTATTCAAAATATTTAATATAATTTACACATATATAATTAGAGGTAATAATTAACAATACACTTTTAAGCAAAAATTAACTTTTTTTTAATCATTATTTTAAACATATATAATTGTATTTGTGATCGATCGATATACGCTAAAATAATTGTCTGTAACTCAATTCAACACTCTCGATTTATTTGCACGTAACATTTAATTAAATTTTAATTAAATTTAATTAAATTTTCTTAAGAAGTTTTTTAATATAATAATCAAGATATAATGATTTTCATTTTGAGAGTATTTTCCAACGAATATTTCGATTAAGATTGCGGTTTACATCGATCTATTCATATTTTAACTATAACATTTTTCATAATTTGCGCTCTGTTCCTAATTCTTAAAAGAGGGTTGTGATTGGCTCGTTGCATCCAGTGTGTAGATATTTCGAGAGTTGCATTGAACCAAGCGCTATGATTGGTTGCGTGTCCGTATTTCAAGAGCAATATATATGTATGTATGTACATACATATTTAGTCAGATAATGGACGATTCCGACGCCGATTCGAAGAATCGTCTCATATTTTTCCGCGAGTTTGATATCCTACTGACGAGCTTCGCGCGCGAGTTTGGCTCGAATAAAATATCGTGCATCCTTATACAGTGAATTAATCGTCATGTATCAATCGCAAGTAAATCATTTTGTTTCGCACGATTAGTTTATATCAGTTACGTATATCGCGAGTAGATTTTCCAGAGGAGGAGAGAAAGAAAATTAGTCCTGAGAATGTATAATATATTCTGATTGCGGGAGCATTTTTTTAAGGTACGACAGTCGATTTTTTACGCTATATCAATTATATCAATACATTGAATACTCCGACTCTCCTACTTTGTGTGGCATAATCTTCAAAAAGAAGCGAATCGCCATGATTGATTGGCTACTTGTCGTTTCGAGAATACCAAACGAGTATCGAACTATTCACCAATGGCTGACTCGCTGCAATGAGTCGAGCGCTGTGATTGGCCCGCCGAGTCGACGTCATCGTCGTTTCGAGAATCGCAAGCAGTTCGATATGGCGGAGTAACGGAGCGGTTCGCGTCGCGGCAGGTCGGATTCGAAAAGTCGCTCCGAGTGTTTTTCGCCATTTCGTTTCGCCGAAAATGAAGTGTCGCACGCGAAATGTCATCGGGAGTGTCGAGTGAAAGGTCACGCGTTCGTCGGTGCGTCGAATGTGCGGTCAATCGACATCGTAATCGTTTACGAGCCGCGAGCGGGCAGTTCTGCGATTCGAAATCGCGGTTCATCGTGATTTTCTCGCACGCCAAGGATGGCTTTCGCTCGTAATTTGTCGTCGCGAGTGTCAATTAATATATGTGTAGGTGCAGTGAAGTGAAGTGTCCATCGCTCATTATTGCGATGCGTTAAATAGTGTGAGTGAGTTAAAGCCGCTGGAGTTGTTGCTTCGATTCCGGCAGGATACGCGGAACCATCGCAGATTTCTCGAAGAGGGAGCAAAATGGAGGAAGCAAGCTGATTCCGAGAATCACCGGGTTTCCAGAAACGGTGAGTAATCTTCATGTCGCACTGTCGATAAAATTCTGCTTCCACTTTACCGTTGGTAAACTCATTTCTTATGCTTGCTTTGTTACCGACAAAGTATGGGCAGGTTAGGTTAGGTTAAGTTAGACAAAATATAAACAATTCATGTAAAAGTTTTACATTTTCTGAAACCGCAGCGATAACATCGGAGATTGCAAGTTATAAATAATAACAATTTTACTTCCATATTTTTTTATATTTTATATATGATAAAATGACATATGTACAGAAAATGGAAATGTTCATTTTTAAGTAAGAAAACAATTTTATATTTAAAACTGTGTCTTAAAAATGATTTGTACTGTATAGAAGTCCCTATAAAAATTCAAGCATTCCTCACAGAGCCTTTGACAATTTTAACATCATCTACGGGTCGATCATTCTTATCCGTTTCAACCAGTCCAATTCTTTTAACTATATTCATGCCAGAATGGACTCTACCTATTAAATAAATATGAAAATAAAATATGTATTACAGATGCGTGATAATTGTATTACAATATAAAGAAATAGCTAATATTTATTGCGACTTACCAAATATAGTATGTTTCCCATCGAGCCATTGTGTAGGTGCAAGCGTTATGAAAAACTGTGATCCATTTGTATCTGGTCCAGAATTTGCCATTGATAATATTCCAGCACCTATTTCAATATTGCCATTTAACAGTAAAATATATATACTTTTATTGTACCACTAACAGCAATTTTTAATTATTCATTAATACAAAATAAGTTAAAATACCTGTGTGTTTCAAATCATCGTGTATCTCATCATCAAAACATTCACCATATATGGACATCCCACCTTTTCCTGTTCCGGTAGGATCTCCACCTAAATATGAAACATAGAAAATAAACTAAACATCTGCGTAAACATCTCACGCTATCTTTGTACATTTCTAATGCATTACCTTGAATCATAAAGTCACGAATAATCCTATGAAACTTGGTACCGTTATAATATCCACGTCGCGTGAGCTCGGCAAAGTTTCTGCACGTGATGGGGGCGTGTTTCCAATATAACTCAAAGGTTACTTCACCCATCCTAAGAATTGAGATGAAATCGATTATTACAACTAACAAATGTTAAGTTAGAAAATACGTGATTCACTTACGTAGTCTCAAAAGCAACGAAGGGTGGTTGCCAATGTTTATCTGGCACGCCGGATATATTTGAGAGGCACATTGTGGTCATTTTACGTCCTTTTTTTAGTCCAAATAAGTAAATAAATAGTCCAATTATACAGCGAAAATTATCGCATCTATCCTTTCTTTAATAAAATTTTTCGTAAAAAGAAAATGATAATTATTTTCGAACACGACTTTACACAGCACGAGCTTAATAAAATCACCTACTCACACACTTACATAAATATGACAAGTATGACACATGGAGCACATGAACGCCATCTGTTTCATGCGCAGGATATACGCGTTACAAAGCAATAATAAAATAAATTTAATGAAAATGTAAAAATACGTTAAACCTTATATTCACGCAAAAAAACGTATAAATGAGGAACTTCGCATGTTGGATTGATTCGTCGCAGTGTTGTATATCGAATACTCTGGCAACACGACGAGCTTCCGCAAGTGCCGGAACAAGTTAACCTGCATAAGAATATGTTCTCGCCGAGAGACTCGAGTAAATCGGAGTATATTAGTTTGAATATTCACGACAGCTCGTCGTTTGCACGGGGCACTTCGCGCAGTTTATGGAGGGTACGTATATCTGAACGAAAAGTAGATATATACCACGATACTGTGTTTGTCACTTTTAATTTATGCGTTTAAATACCGCATCTCTCTACCATACTTATTCCTCACTCGGCTGTATGTTTCTCTTTCAGCAATGGAACCAATTATCCAGGTTTCAGAGAAATATTCTATACTTTGCAGTTATCACAGTTATACTTGTAATATTTTATCTCCTACCTAGCGAAACCAAAGCTGGTACCTCTGACGAGGTAGATTATATTAATATAGTAGTTATAAGAGAAACTGCCAAGTATGAAAAGGTACGCAATGACGAAAGAGAAGTTTTCCGTGTGAAAAAAGATATCGAATCGTCTTTTTATTCTGTAGGCAGTCAATGAAGTTGTAGATAACGATGAACAGGGTGCTGGACCTGGTGAAGTGATTGAGGAACCTGAATTTCAACCAGAGATTAATCAAGTTGATGATGATCAAATCGGTGAACCACCGCAGCCAAAGCCAAACATACTGAAATTTAGTGGTAGATTATAATTGATGAAAAATAATCAGATATACATATACAGATATGATATAATTTAATTATAATATATCATATATAATTTATAATCTTAGGTCCACAAAATAGTAGGCAAGAAGCTGTTGTAGCTGCATTTAAGCATTCTTGGGATGGTTATAAGAAATATGCTTGGGGTCACGATAATGTTAAACCAATATCAAGGAGATATCATGAATGGTTTGGTCTAGGTCTTACTATAGTAGACTCGTTGGATACTATATATATAATGGGATTAAATGAGGGTGTGTATAAGTATTAAATTAAATTTTAAAATATTTTTTTCATAAGTGTATGAAAAAAGAAACAATTTTTTTTCATTCTTTTAGAATTTTCAAGGGCAAGGAAATGGGTAGAAGATAGTTTAGTATTTACAGTAAATAGAGATGTTAATTTATTTGAAGTTACAATTAGAGTATTAGGTGGATTATTGGCGGCATATCATCTTTCCGGTGATATACTCTTTTTAAATAAGGCTGTAAGTAACGGATTCAAAAAATTTTAGTTAGTTTATTCTGTCAGAATCCTAATAAATAAATATTAACAATTCAATTTAATGGCGATATCCAAGATGGATTTAGGTGATCGCATGATGCCAGCATTTTCTACCAGATCGGGTGTTCCATATTCCGATGTGAATCTCGGCACTAGAAGTGCGCATAGTCCTAAATGGGGGCCTGATAGTAGCACGAGCGAAGTTACTTCGATTCAATTGGAATTTCGCGATCTTAGTCGTAGCACAGGACAACCTAAGTTTGAGGTAATTTAGTGATTGAAGTGATCTTTTATAAGCAATTCTTCTAATTCGTTATCTTTTTAGGCTGCGGTTAAAAAAGTTTCTGAACATGTACATAAATTAGAAAAATACGATGGCTTAGTTCCCATCTTTATTAACGCTAATACTGGCCAGTTTCGAGAATATGCAACAATTACTTTAGGAGCCCGTGGCGATAGTTATTACGAATACTTATTAAAACAATGGTTACAAACTGGAAAAACGATAGATTAGTTAGTATGCCTTATTAAAAGTTAATTAAAATATGTAGAATAATTTTCAGTTAATTTTTCTTTATTCTTTAATATTTTTCTTTTATAGTTTGCGGGATGATTACTTGTTAGGCATTGCTGGAACCCAAAAACATCTCGTTAAACATACAGCAGTTAATAAATATTTATTCATCGCTGAGTTGGTTGGCGCCAACAAAGAAATAAGACCAAAAATGGTAAATAAATAGAATAGAAAAGGTCAGGAAAATGTATCGCGCAAAATTTATATTTATATTGTAGGATCACCTCACATGCTATTTAGGAGGTACTTTAGCGTTAGGCGCGCATCATGGACTGTTGCCGTCGCATAATACTCTTGCAGAAGAAATAGTTCAGACTTGTTATCAAACATACGCAATCCAACCGACATTTCTTGCGCCTGAGATTACTTATTTTAATATACAAGTAAGTGTATACAAAAAAATATTCATATCAATTCGGATAAAAAAAAACATGTCCTTATATCATGTCATATTCAATTCTTTATATCATGTCATAAAAAAAAGATTCATATCCCACACTTGATTCTGTAGAAAGTGGAAGGTGATAATCAAATGGATATGTACGTAAAAACGAATGATGCTCATAACTTATTGAGACCCGAATTTATTGAGAGTCTATTTTATATGTGGTACTTGACGGGAAATAAAACTTATCAAGATTGGGGTTGGCAGATATTTCAGGTGAGCGCGTTACTTGACTTTCTTCTGAAATTTTCGTTTTACATGTCTCTAATATAAAATACATCTTAATAGGCTTTCGAAAATTATACCAAAGTTGAAAATGGCTACACAAGTATTGGTAATGTCCGGAATGTTCTACAAACTCGTCAACAAGATATGACGGAAAGTTTTTGGTTCGCCGAAACATTAAAATATTTGTACTTGTTATTTGATGACACTAGACAATTGATAGATTTGGATAGGTGGGTATTCAATTCGGAAGGTCATCCATTACCCATTTACGAATCATAACACGCAAAACTATGTAGAACTTAAATTTCTTATAACTTCTAATAATCTTTAATTCCTAATATCTGTTAAATAATTTTTTAAAGATTCAATTACTGAATTTGTGAATATCGTTTCTGTTGAAACATCAATCATTGCTTCTATAATAAAAAGTTTTTTAGACTTCTCAAGCTTTCGCGACATAATAAGCTTTCTCAATTTGTTGTGAAAATCTTCAATAGGATTCTCTTCTAAAAAAAAGTCCATTTATGATACAAGATTATATATACATATATATATATATATATATATATATATATATAAAATATTTATATATATATAAATATTACTATTTATATATATATATAAATAGTCAGAAATTTTTACTTAACGCTTCAATATTATAACAAAAATATATATAAAAGATTACAGATAATTTAAAATCATATAGTAAATCATTATTTTTAAATCAATTTTTCTAATAATTAATTATGAACATATACCAGAAATTGTGTTGTACAACTTTTTCAATTATATCATTGAAATATGATTTAACATAAATCTGCAAGCATACTTATGCCCATATCACGTCTAAATATCTAATCAATAGATACTATTGATGTTTTAGATTTTCAAATTGCAAGTTTCGAAAATATATAGATTATTAATTTCTACTTATTATGTAGATAATAAAATTAGACAGAACTTTTTTTAGCACATATTGTACTTACCCATATATTTTTTCATAAAACTTCTAACTTTAGTGCACATCATTTTTAATGCTGATGATACATAAAAAAAATTATTATTTAATACAGTCTTCACATTAAATTCGTATATTATAATATTACAAAAATAATCTAGTCCTCATCTATGAATAAATTACATTATATACTTGCAATCTCCGATTATTATAAATATTTATATAATTATACTTTTACATATATTTATATGAATATTTATATAAAATAGGAAATATCTGTTTGCGATTATTATAGAGACTATTAATACAACGCGATGATGATTAAATCACAATCTTGATGGAAATTTACATTAAAAAATATAGAAAACAAATATTTAAATTTTAAATACATAGTATTTAAATTATTTGCCTATATTTTTAATGTTATCTACAAATAGCAACATTATATCGAAAAGTACTAAGACATACTATCAGATAGTAAAAGCAAGTAGATTAAATGAATATGCTAACAGTTACATAAAACAAAATTCGATTTAATCATCAGCTGCATTATAGAAATACTATTCTACTTCTAATTACTGGCGCATTAAAAAAGAATTAGTTTCAAATTATCCTTCGTTTGTAATAAATGCATCCTTATACCAATATACAGGAATGCTATTTGATATTATTTTAATATTAATTCATTTTCCGAAAAAAAAAACGAAAGAGAATTTATATACGTCATTTATATTTTTTACATGCTACTACAGATCTATTCTCTTTGCCCGCAAATTTACAAAATTACAGACAGACACAAGTGCCTGCGGTGTTATAAACGATTGTTGCGATTAATACTGTTAAATTCGTGTCATTAACGTTGACTTGAGGTTGTAAGGAAGACGTTTACGAGTAGAGCGAATAATTTGTTCTATAACATTTTCGAAAGAGCGTTTACGAATTAATAACTGACTTTTGTAATGTCTCTCGACACATTCTTTACGACTTGCCATTACGGTTTACCACGAATGGCAGTGTGTATTTGCAACCATGTTGCAACTACGATAAACACTTCCGCTGAAGCGTGCGCTCTAAAAATATAAATTAATAATTATTTTACGCGTTTGCGTTTCTTAGGTCGCTTGTCGAATAATGGGTGCTCGGAATATTACACGACACATTCAAAACTTGGGTGTAACTGCGAGCATCACGCGCACGCTCATTCATATATTTATTTATAAAATTTTCTACATGTCACGCCGCGAGGATTTCCGCCTATATATATATATTTCTCGTATATCACAAAGAATCCTCACAATGCGCGATACTTATTGTATAATCAGATTTTAAATTTTGCGCCGAAGAGAAGAGCGCCTCGAGATCCTGAAAGTCGAATCGGAGTATTCGCGAGACGCTCCTTTCTCAGCATTATTTAACTAAGGACCTCGAACGATCTCAGACTATGGTGCAATCGCAGCACTGTTGCGTGTAGTAAATGCAATTGATCAGACAGGAAACGTCCGACTCGTCGGGGGACGTCTTCGTGTCGAGACCGTTCTTCTCGATCTCTGGCTTCGACTGCGGCGCGGGTAAAGTCGTCTGCACGATCGGCACCGCTTCCTCTATCGCCTCGGTATCCTCGGTGTTGTCCCCGCTGGGTTTCGCTGGTTGTGACGTTATAGGAGCGCTGTTGACCAGCCTCGCGTTGTCCAGCACGTCGAAACTCGTCGTGGATATCGATGTCTGCGCCGGAGGCGATGGTTCTCCGGAGGACATTATCACGCTGAAACAAGCGAAACATCTGGATTTAGTTTCACTAAGAACTAGAAAAAAGTATGTCTAATCTTAAAGTTGAAAGGGGAACGAAATTAAATCTAGATTATAATTAATTTCTCATTTTCTCAAGTTCTTGGATAAAGCGGGCTAATCGCTGATACTTTAAATCAGACGATTATTAGGAACATTTTAAATTAATAAGAATTTAATTTTATTAATTTGACTTAAGAATTTTTTATAGTTTAATAGAGACATTTTTGTAAAAAATGTTTCTGTCGCATTTGAATACGTAAATTCGTTAAACGGAATGTTAGACGAAGAGAGAATACGTCTCTCGAGATAAAGTCTTCCGGAATTCCCCTCGGGAGAAGCGAACCTACCATCTAGTCTTCTTGAAAGGGTGCGTTCGAGTCCTTTCCTCCGCGGTTAGGGTAGAATAAAACGACACTTGTTGCATGTTTCACAACTCCAACCTTCGTCACGTGAGAAATGTTTGTAATTTTATTCCAACTTATTCTTGTCTTTGAAACACTATACTTCTGTCGCACTCCTACGCGCCCAGATGATAGGCTAGATTTCATCTAGTCCGTCTAATCTAATCACTTTTCGCATTCCCGTCTTTTAAATATACAGAGCAACACTGCAAAAGGAATTCTCTCTGTAGAACCTATCCACAAGTGTCTTTACGATTCTAAAATGTACGTTCGTTGATGTGCACGCGTTTGTGTAAACATCGTATGAAAAATCTTCCATCATAAAAGGCTTATTACGTTTACGATCGCGTACGTAACTTGCGTCGTATCTGGTGCATCACTCGCGCCGATTACGTCTCAATTGATCAGTCTCGAGCATGTGGAGAACATTAGCGGAATACTACCGTCATTTTGTTGACTAATAGAGACTAACGAACGTTAACTGGACCTACATTGCATACCGTTACCACTATCCATTAAAATTTAATTAATAACATTAATAGGCTATAGGAATAATAATAAATTCCTTTCGAAGAGCGTGTCTTCGTTTATCGTTCCTCCTCTTTATTTACGCAAAATAGAGATAGTAATACAATTATGATTTTTCTTATCATTGATTTTATATAAAAGATGTAAGAGATACATATGTTGAATTTTCTTTTCAAATCATTCAAATTAGATTTTTTAATCAAATAAATGATAAAATATAATTGTTTGTTATTTCTAAAAATAAATTTAATGAAAAAATTTATAATTTCCTTGAAAGAATGTATTATTGATAAAAAAATAAAAAACAATAAATATATGATGATTCTAATTTAGAAATTAATTAGAAATTCTGAATATTATTATCGAAAAATCAAACGAACGATCTCACAATCGCTATTCGACTTTTGCAAGAATTTAGAAAAAAGAGGAGCAAGGAAATACAAAGAGACGAGAAAAACCTTGTGACATCGTAAAACTACACGCTTTAGTTTAGTATTAGGGGATCCCATACCCTTCGTCAATTGTATTCGCTCCAGGTCAAATCTAGAGTGAAAACTACAGCTGTAGAGAAGCAGCTGAGAGAGAAATATTTCGTATTTGCACAAAAGCTATTTCGCAAGGTCGATACGTAACGTTCGTTTTTCCAAGCGTAGAGACGATGATAGAATTACGATTACGCGCTGATTTATCTAGTGTTTGTGATTGCCAGAACAATAAGAACAACGCGTTTTTTTTGCGTAAAACTGTTTAGCACTGCGATTGCATCAGAAAATGAAAAAAATATATAGTTAAATTATATTTTATATATATATATATATATATATATATAAAATTATATATATATATATATATATATATATATATATATAAAATTTAATTTAAATATATATTTTTTCATATAAACAAACAAAATTTATAATAATTTTAGCTATATAACAAATTGAAAAATTATTATAATAACGAGATTTATGATATATTGCCAGTATTCTTCAAAAATATTCAAATAAAAAACGATAATCGTTTTAATACTTTAATATATTAAGAAATATATCAAAAATCTGATAAAATTCATAAAATGTTTATGATGATGATGTAGTTTTAATTATCTCATTTTTAAAATAACGATTTGATGAAGTAATAAAATATTGTATGATAACCAGTAGTAAACAATGATAACATGATTTCATAAGAAACTTCTAATGCGCTTTTATAAAGTTAATATCAAAATTTTACTTTTTGCTACTTTACAAATTGTTAATATCTAAATTTGTACTTTTTGGAAAAAAACCTGCGGGCAAAATCCAATAATGATAAATAATCACTAATGTGACATGCAATTATAGCTTCGCTGACATAAAAAATGTAAATTAAATTCAGAAGCTGGTGATTAAATGATGATATACTGTAGAAATTAAGAGTTTCTGATAATAAATTGAAATTTCCTCATAAATATCATGATATAATTAGATTGCTTTCCTAGTATCACACATGCATTATGTGCACCGAATCGATACATTAAACTATGCGTGCGAGCATACAGACGACACATGTAAATAGCTGTCACGGTACTCACACTTCCGCAATACAATGTTATGCAAGAGTGTATAATATTCTATTATTTTTTTATAGTATACTTTAAGTTTGCCAGGATAATTAGTTTCGCCTATATGTCTGCGCCGGAAAGACTTGTACTTGTTTTCCTGTTTTGCAATTTATCATTTATCAACTAAAATGTCAAAAATTTATCATTTATCGACTAAAATGTCAAAAATTAGTAAATGTTAAAAATTGATTAGCTTGTAAAGAAATTAGTTAAATGAATATAGAGTGAAAAATATTTATAACTAAAAACGACACGATTCCATACGGTACCAAATGTGTATGATGTTACAAGTCATCATCATTAAGTCATTTATTTATGTAAAATAGTTTTGATAATTATTATGCACAAGGTTGCACCTTTTTTTATATTAAAATGATCGAGACCGCATCTGATATAACTATGAATTCGAATTAAAACGCTGACTTTGCGAAAGGTATACCGGTATCAGTCGCACGCCGTCAACGGTCGCCGTGAAACTGTCCGATCTGAACTCTGAGAATGCTATTCCACCCTGGATGAGTTTTACACGTGTTATACAGCAGTGCCGTATGCTGTGGGCACGGAAACCGACACAGTTGGAAATATGCGTGAAAGGGAAAAAAATTAACAGAGATTCATTCTATAAAATTTTGAATTATTAATTTCCGAAATCGATGAGATAAAAATATTTTTCGATTCATTAATTTAACTTTGTATTTTCTGTGCAAATTATTCGGGTAATAATATTTTTAAATTGTTTTTCTCAGAGAGACAATATAATTAGACGATTGAATAGAAAAAAAATAATTAAAATACGAAATTGTAAATTAATCACTAATAATATGTTCGGAGATTAAAATATTCTGTTATTGTAATAAATTTGCAAAAGTTGTTATTTTAATTAGCCAATTTATAAAATATACATTTCTCTTAACTTATCTTTTCATTTTTATAGAATCATTAAATTATATTTTGTAAAGTGATATTCATGGAAAAAATTCTAGTTGGAGAGAAAGTAGACGACCGGTTCCCACAAACAGTCTTGAATTCAAATCGTATTTACGATTCTTCTCTCTTTCTCTTTCGTAGAGTATTTATAAATACTAACCTGTATATGGTATTGATCGAAGCATAGAATTCAAAGAAGATTGTTATAATATTCTATCAATTTATATCCTTGCTGAAAGCCATTTAATACTTGTATCTATTTGTTAAGTTATTTTAATGTTTTACATACAATACAAGTAACATTTTTTCTCTACACTTTCGCGATAATTCATTAATCGGTCGTGCAATGACAAGCACTAAACGTATTTACAAACTTTCAGTCAAGGATTGCAAACGAGATCATTAATATAAATTTCAAACATTTTCAAGAGCGGGCCCTTTTTCGCTATCCAAGATCCGTTCGCTCAAATGATCAAGATACCAAAACTCTGAAAGTAGAGAGCGAAAAAAATTTTGCTAAATTATCATAAAAATAAAATAATAAACGGAAAATAAAGGAGCAAAATGAGCGATAAAACATGCAGGTTGTACCGGCATATTTTTTCGCCGGCGTGAAACATCGTGAGAGCGTCTACGGGGTCATCGGAGTAAAAATTCCTCGGCGCGACCATGCTCGACCGAGCGGACACGTGATAGAATTACAGGATGAGCGAAGGGACTTAACCTACAACGGGCTCGCGCCGCTCGTCGTTTCCTTTCCTTCTCGACTTACTCATAGCTCCCATGTTGCAGCAACGGATTTTTCAAGCGCATCGTTGCTCCGATGACACTGTCAACGGTCAGGCGAGCGCTGCTGCACCGCCAAAACTGCACCGCCGTTGCCGTTGGTACGGTCGCGATCGACGCGATCGATGACGGATACGATCGAACTGCTCGACGCAGAGGCATCCGTGCTCGGGTCACGCGAGAATACGTACATGTGTGCGTGATACGCACGTATGCGCACGCATGGCACGCATGCGAAAGACGCAGACAAGGGAAACAGCCGCGTGAGTTGAAGCTCGCGTTAAAGTGCGATGTCCTAGAATCGGGTTTCCGCGCGGAAAACGTCAAATGGCAGTCTTCATCGTTTATCGTTTATCTTTGTGTGATTTACGTTAACGAAAACGCTCGACGGATGACGTTGAATTTTGCCGTTTTTTCTTTTATGTTGCAGAGGACTCTAAATTTGCGCAACGAGAGTTTTTTAATCTCTCCTGTTGACGAAACTGCCGCGTTGAAACGCGCGAGAATTTGCGGGACGAGACATATCATTTTAATAAATGGAACTCTAGATCAAGAACGTGTCGGATAAGACTCACCCAAAGAGGTTAGCTTCGCGCTTTTTGCCCTTCGAATGCATCCAATTGCGATTGTGATGTTTCTTGCTGTTAGAATCTTTCTTCGATTTATCATGACCGCGCCATTTACCGTGTTTTTTCGAGAACATGTTTTTTCTTTACGAAATCAAGAAATTATCGCACGCACATATGTTTATATCGTATCACGTCTAACGAATGTTTGTTTCTTCACGCTTTATTAATGCACGCCAAGTATTTGATTCCGTCATCGCGTGATTCTTTGCAATTTTATTATCGCGAGCTTGAAAATTATATGAAAATAGTATGCGATATCGACAACATGGAATCGCGTCACTGACTGAAAACAGAGAAAGATTCAGCCGCGATCGAGTAACTGTACATGCGTGTGTATGTTAGATATACGTGAATGTGCGTAGCGTAACATTACATGACGTAACGATGAAGGATACGAGCGACAGAATCGGGGACCGATTATATTTACGTGGAGATTTAATACATTGAATACATTTTAATTTTTTTATTCTATAAGAATCCAGCAAGAAAGATTGCATCTAGAATGTTTAATATTACGATAAATAAATGCAAAACGCATTCGTCCACGTGTTTATATTCTTGTAGTTGGCTGTTTATCAATGTCGCGTGCGACTCCGGAAAGCGCAATTATATAACACGCGTAATTATTATATAACATACAATATAGTATCAACGATAATCATTTAATCCTTTAACTACAGCTGTCGTCAATAGACGACGAATAGAAATGCATATCCGTTAAAGGGTTAAATAGTTAATGAATGTACGCTTAATTCTCGTATTTGCACTTACCAATCGAGAGATGTCCTTGATCTTAATTGTAAACAAAGATTTTTTTAACTCTCGTTATAATATTACAGAGAACAATCGTTTCGAAATCGAAGGAATTCTATCGATGTTTCTGAACGTGGATCGCGAAATACTCTGTGAAACGTTCCGAAGGCACATTGAGAACAACGTAATATCCTCCGATACAGCGTACCGATGTATCGATGTAGATTAGCGGTTTCAACAGAGCATATTTTAACATATAAATTAGCGGACGTACTTTTAAGAGCCAATCAGAATTTCTGTCACTCAATAATAACACGACAGCGTTCGAATAAATTTCACCACAGGCTTCTTTCACACTTAATGAGTTTTTTTTAAACGAGAATGATATTTATAAAAATTTACACTTTCATAGATTAGCAATAAGATTATATTGTAACATAATTATCATCAAGACGATCGTTGGATAAAGTTAATTTTGCAAAAATTACTTTGCTCTCGCTAATAGTTAGTTTTTTTTCTTCGCGTAAACATCTTTCTTGATTTATGCGAGTCGTGAATATCATATTCGTTGCATTAAACAAGAGATAAATCGCGATCACAAAAGTCCTGGGGATCGAATAAATATACCGAATAAAATATGATACATGCTAGGAGCAACAACTTATTTAAAAAAGTTATTTTCTTTTTCCTCAACTTTCTCTCCAAATATGACGTTTATCGCTTTCTATTTCGGTATCTCGATAATCGTGTAATCTAGCGTACCTGTCCAAGAATATACATACTTCTCTGATTCATGAAATCATTTATGGCAGTTGTTTGCAACGAAGATTTGTTTCTCCTTTTATTGACCTACAAAAAGCATTTAATCCCGCCAAATATTTAATTTCGTGCAAAGTTTTTTTCACGACCTTAATCCTACGATTAACTGGGAGAATCACTTAAAAATCAAGCGAATTATAAACGAAAATCAAAGACGGAGACCTACGATGAAGTATGATACTCCATATTTAATTTAACGACAAATTCTTGCAATTTTACAGCCAGAATTTCGTTCCTTTGATTTTGCAATTACATTTTGCATGGAATTTCGCTGTTTTCTCTTCGTCTTCTTTCTCTTCTTACCTTTCTGCCGAATATCAAATAAAGTCTGTTTGCGCTTCGCCGAAACGTACCTTACCTTACGCTCCTTTCTCAGTTCACGTCGCGCCTCCTTTTTGAGACGCGCATGTAAACGTGGTCGATATGAAACCGGTTCTCAAGCAAGCGAGAGAAGCGTGCGAGGATAAAAAAATTGGAACTCCTATGCCGACGCGTCTTTCGACGAGAATATATCCCGTACAAATTTTAATAGCTATTTGTTAGACGCGTTCGCGTGCAAAAAATCCCGCTTTTCCTCTCGGAATCGCCGCTATTCATCACCGTTCAGATCGGAGATGCGCGAAACTGACGTCGTTCATCCGTTTCTTGCGAATCGCGCGCTAAATCTTCAAAACTCTTCGCATAGCATTTTAGCACGTGTGAGATAGTTCGCGCTGCGTAAGCGTAGTTTCTCGGAAAATTTGCGCACGTTCGGCTGTCGAGTTAGCACGTGTCGTATTACGCAAAGCTCGGGAATACATAACACCACTCCCCCGGGGCACTTGAAGCTGACCGAGTATCGCGTTCTCTCGAAAGAAAAGGGACGGAATGTGTGTACGATGTAAAGATGTGTGTATGTACCTACATATTATGCAGCACGGCCCGAATCGCCGACCACAAACGTCAAACAGACCGTAACAGAAAACTTTTGCATGCGCATTGTCTCCGTGTTAGCTAGAATTTAGAGCCAACGTGATGTTTCGCAGACGCTCGCTAAAAGAGCCACGAGGTCTGTATTCGTAAGCAGGACAGCTTGGTCGACGAAAGATTATATTTTCTGACGAATCGTCTTTGTACCTTACGTCAAGCGTTTCTGCATTATTCATAGAAGAAATAAAAAAAGATGAGATAAAATCTAGTCACTTATACAAAGTGTTCCGAAACTCATAATCAATCTTTCAAAGATTCCTGGGATCATCCGAAGACGATTTTTCCTCAACGAAAATGTCGAGACACTAATAATTTTCGAATTATAAGTGATTGGAAATAAGGGGTTTTTCGTAAACTAAGCTTTGTAGAAATAAAATATTAATAAAACCACATTCTTCGATTAATTTTAAATAGAGTTTACTTTAGTTGAGTTTTAATTTAAGGCTTAATTGCAAAGATATATGACGACAAAAATCGGAAACACGCAAAAAATGATGGCCTTCATCGACATTTTCGCTGAGGAAAAATCGTCTCCAAATAATCCCAGGAATCTGTCTTTGAAAGATTGATTACAGGTTTTGGGACATCCTGTATATTTCAAATTGTCACTTTATCGTGGTTGCTTCTTGACGTGAAATGAAAAAAAGAAATGTATCAAAGATGCGTATCCTCTTTTATCCAATTCGATTACGAGGCCTATTATTGGCAGTCGTGTCTCTCGTCGAACAGTTCATTTACCCCTTTTCCTTGACAAACGACAACGTGGGTGTAATGATTCGCTATGTGTATGCGTGCATACTTGACGGGGGGCTTCGTAATCTCGACGTAACATCACGCACGCTTACTGACTCGCATACACATATACATATGTATGTGTGTGTACACATCTATCCATCGGCACATGCTACACATGTTACTCACCTGAACTCGTGCTCGGACGTGCTCGGAGCTTCTTGCGTGTAAACATCCGCGTGGACGATTATCGTCGTCGGGTCCCCTTCTGCTCCGATCCTCTTGCCTGTCATATCTCCGGAACGAAATGATTATAGCGCGCCGGCGTCTTGCACTTTGTGTCGTCACGTGGTCGATGTAATTCTCACTCTCGTTTTAAGCCGATCGTCTCACGCTGGCTGAATCTTTCGCAGGCCACACGCGCGATGACTTGATATTTTCTAAAGAAATGCGTCATACATGTATCGAAAACAATACGTAATGTTATATCATTGAAGCAGTTACTATGAAAATATCATTCGTGAAAGGAACGACGAGATTTCTGTTTATCTTTCGCGCGATATCAACGATATCGGCGCATTGCACTAATTATTAACGTTAATTGGGAGGATAATTCTGATTGAAAATCTTTATTTACCTCGGTATTTACAATGTCGGTAATATCAATATCTTCAACTTTCTTACTACGTTATATTCTTGGAATAAGACGTTGGGTAATAAAATCAGCCGCGGATCGCACAATATGGAGAAATGAGCTTATAACGCACGCGGCAGTTTTCGTAGTCTACACATCGACAATCCGTGAACAACTGACGACTTTCGGCCTCTGTTGTGTCAGGTCCGTGTGCCTGATCGTCCGGGAACCCTCCTAAAACTTGCCACAAATAACATCCCCTCCTTTTTTTCATCCCTCTCTTTTTGTTCCATGCATTTGCTTCTCTTTAAGGTAGCAAGATTTTTCTGATAATGGATGTTTCCCTCGCTACATTATTGGTTTCATCAATGACACATGTATCAAGTATATATTTTAGTTTATATCGAAATTTTCGTAAAGTCGGTTGATATCGAAAAAAACTCTCTATAAATGTTAGTTAACTTTTGTTTTTTATCTCTTCCTTAAAAAAGATTCTAAAGAAAGAAATCGTATTTAAACCTAACTTTAATGTTGCACGAAAATATTTTACATATTTTACATTTTATATTTATGATAATTCTTGCAATTTAGCATAAAATTTATGAGTGCAATAACTTTTCATCTGGATAAAGAATGTACTTATTTGTAGCATCGAAAATTAACTGACAATGAGATTGAACAATTTGACTTTTTGTGAACGTTGCACATCTATTTAACACATACGGCTTGTTTTCATCGCACTTGCGTGCATTATGCGTCACGTTTGGGGTTCGGAGAGTCTATTGCTGTCCCTTTTTTCGTGTTCTTAGGGGGTCCTTTGTTATTTGCCGCCTGGCAAGAGCCGGTCACATCCTGTGAATGGATCGGAAAGCCTCAATTTCTAAGAGTCACGGTAGAAAAATACATATTTATATAAAAGCTGATTTTCTTCACAAGTAAATGATCAAAAAAAGAAGTTTTCTCTATAATTTTTCTTCACAAGTTTTTTCCTCTTTAATTTTTACAATTATATATAACCAACAAAAACTTATATAATCGATATAAGATTAAATCGAGAATTAAAAATCTACACATACATCATATAAGATCCGTTCTCTTATCATTTTATAGCAGGACACAAGAGAAAAGTATTATTGTAAAAAAAAGAATATTGATAAAGAATCTGTATCTTTCAGATATATTGCCATTGTATTATTAGTATGATTCGTCGAGTTTGTCGACGCAATTTATTTTATCAAATCATGATAACACGAATCAACATAATTGTTGTTGCATTATTGATTTATATTAAAGTATATTTATTAGAGAGAGATATTAATTTGAAAATAACCTGAAAAAACTATTGAAATAAAAAAATAGAAAAAAATTTATAAAAGTAATTAACAATTTTAACAAATATAAAAGTTTATGGAAAAATAAATAATCGCAATGTGTGTTAGAAAGTGTCATTTAAATAGAGAATACAACATTATATGAAAAATAATTAATTTATTTCAAATATTTTTACACGTTCAAAAATAGATAAAAAACATTACCACATACTAGTTCGGCCAGCAACGAAAAAATGTGGCTTTCAATATGATAGATTTTCTTATATCCTTAGTTAACATAGTATAGTCTGCTTTCAAATTTTCGTAGGTTCCTTTATTTTTTTCCCTGTATTCGGCACATCTTTATTATCAGCTTTTTTCCTGATATTTTCGGTTTTGGACACGAATTCAAAGATATCGTCTGCTAGAAGACCTGGCTCTTCGAATGCGGCAAAATGACCTCCGCGCGGTAAGTGGTTAAATTGTATTAGATTAGTAAATTTGTCACGAAGGAGACTCTCCGATTGGTACGCTAGCTCATGAGGAAATGCCGCACATGCTGTTGGTACATTAACTGGCAGTCTAAAAATTAAATCGATGTATATTATTAAAAATATAAAACTATTTTTTTAAATAAACAAAAAACTAATTTTATAAATAAGCAAATTTGTAAAGGACAAAGACAAAGAGAAAGAGAGAGAAAAAAAATACTTACTCGTCTATTCTGCTTGACATATGTTTCTTATTAAATTGCTCAGAGTAAAGTCGAACGCTCGTGGTCAAAGAATTAGTAAGCCAATAAATCATAATATTGTCTAAAAGCTCGTCTAAAGTGTATTTCTCGAGTAGACCGCCGTCTAGACGAGTTTTATATTCTTTATTCGTCCATGTACTAAACTTTTCCAAAATATATGCTGCCAGTCCTACTGGCGAGGCTGCTACGGCAGTACCTTTAAAAATAATTTCCGACGTTTTATTAAATTACTTTAACTTTTTGATAAATTGCATTTGTGTGCGTTTTTTTTAAACATTTAATAATATATGTGATATTAGTACATCATATTAATTAAGTTTAGATAAAGAAAAGAAAAGTGATAGTTGTTGCAATTTTATTTTAATAAAAATTTAACTGTGAATTTAATATTTAAGAATTAAAACTTTGTAGACACACATTCCTATGTTAAGTTTTCGTTAGAAAAAAAATTTTGCTATAAACAAGTACCTATAGTATCCGGTTTGCTAGCCTGTATATGCATATATCCCGTTTCTTCAATTAAATAGCTCAGATGATCACTCAAGGGATACATTCTAGAATAATGTTGATTATCTACCACAAGTTGAGGAATAAAAGCACCGATTAACCACCAGAGCAAGCTAGACTTGACTGAACTTGAACACATGTTCAAATGGACGCCAAGAGTGCTGAAAGTAAATGATTATTATTTTTATATTATGTACCCTTAAATCCTGTACGTTTAATACTGACTTATATAGTATATATTATTATATATAATACACACTTGTTCGGGAACAAACTTCCTAAATGCGTAGTAATAATGGAGCCCCAGTCTCCTCCTTGCGCGTAAAACTTTTTAAAGCCGAGACGCAACATGAGATTTTTTAGTATAACAGATATCTAGAAATAATAAATTATTAATATTTGTATATATATTGCATGTTTATACCGTACGTGACTAAATATTAAATATTTGCTAATTTAATTCGTCCTTTTCGTGACAATGTCTTGAATTTTGTAGTGAGTATATTATGACACTTAACAAAACTAAGCACATTCTTTAAATGGAATTTGCCTGTGGTGGGCTTAATCCTGCCACTTAACAAAACTAAGCACATTCTTTAAATGAAATTTACCTGTGGTGGGCCTAATCCTGGTCGTACAGCTGGTTGCGAAAATCCATATCCCGGAAGCGAAGGTGCGATCACTTCAAACACAAAATCTCTGTCAGCACGTGGTGTCGTTAATATGGGAATAATTTTTTGAAACTCCACCACAGATCCCGGCCAACCATGAGTAATCAATAACGGAAGAACTTTTATATTTTTTCGATCTGGTGGAATATGCGGTGCCACGTGATAAAAATGTATGTCTAGACCTGAAATAAATATCAATAAAAAATGTTAAATTATCTTTATCTTACGTTTTGAGTCAAGTTTTTGATTAGTTCTGCATATAATAATAATAATTTTATATATATACAGCTACATATATAGATTTATTATATAGATTTATTAATATATATATTAATTGAATATATTTATTTGACAAAAAAAAGAAACAAATAACATTATACAATTAAAATGAATAGTGAAAGGCAGTAAAGAGCCAACGCAGTTGTAGGGCGTGGATAAAATAATTTTCAAAACAGTAATTCAATTTTAACGATCCTTTATTCCAAACGTTAACTTAAAAAAGAGAGAAATTCATTAAGGTTAGTCAAAGGCCATTCACTCATTCGGACAAACTTGTCCGTTATATTGACACTTGTCCGAATGAGTGAGTGGCCTTTGACTAATGTTAATGAATTTTTCTCTTTTTTAAGACGTGTGACTAGTTTTGATTATATTTATTTTGTCAGTGCATCGCTCTTCGCGCTTTGTACCGTTGAGAGGGCTTTTTGCATCGGGCTTTCTCGGATGGATCAGCCTTGACGAAGTCGCATCGCTCCTATAGACCAATAATGCATACATAATCACTGAAGAAGGCTCGAATTGAGTCCGAAACGTTTGGAATAAAGCGGAAAGAGGTTAAAATTGAATTGCTGTTTTGGAAATTATTTTATCCACGCCCTACAACTGCGTTGGCTCTTTACTGCCTTTCATTATTCATTTTGATTTATTAATTTAGAGGAGCCTTTAACTTTGTTTATTTTATTATACAATTAATTAACAAATAACATAACAGACAATTAATAATCAACAGACAAACTAATTACAATAATGTTAAATTGTTGATGTAAATAAAGATACATTTAATGGATATGATTAATCTTTTACATGGATTAATTAATTATCTAACTCGTTTACACTTTTGTATCTCTGTAATAAAGATAGATAGAATTTTAGCATATTAATAGCAAAAACACATACATCGCTTATTTTTATCAAAGTGTTTTTAGTTTGCTTAAATATTGGTTCGTCTCAATCGAGAACATCCTAACGGAACTTGAACGGTATCTGGTACGGTTAAATCATGGATGAATTATTTAAGTCAGCATTTATTATCTTCCTAATAGTAAACAGGAAAAATAATAATTGCCAAGAAAATATTTAACAAAAACGCGATATCTCTATTTGGTATCCGGAACAACCTTTCATCGCAAAATATCCGCTTTTTTAAAAGAAATAATATATTGAAGAGAAATAATATATATACGATGACAGAAAAAATGTATTACCTTGTATATTGGTTATATATTGAGGATATTTGTTGAGAAGTGCCTGCCGTTCAGTCCAATTGTATTTTGTATGCCAGTGTTCAATAATATTATTTAGATATGTTGTACTGATACCGTAAGTCCACGCAACATCTTCCAATGGTTCCACCAGTTTTCTTTTCTTTGCTAGTCGTTCGTTTAGATCGTCGATTTCCTTTCATAAAATTATATATTATATATTATACAATAATTGCTACATGTATTTTCTTTTTCTTGTTAAAAAAAATTCATTTCTTTTAAACTGCGATATTTGTTTTTTTTTTCTTTAGGTTACAATTGATACGATTACTTTCAATCAAAAATTGAAAAATTTTATCTCGTTTTCTATAAAAAGAATGACTATAGGAAATTCTTACATTTAGAGATATTAGAGAGATACACAAATATTTCTCATCGTAAAATGTCTAATGTACAAGCTAAAATTTGTTTTTTCACTTACATTTGAAAAATATAATATAAATAAATAAAAGATAATAAAATATAAATAAATAAAAGATTTCCAAATTTACTAAAAATAGGTTTAATTTTTATATATACTTTTATATTTTCGTTTGTATATACTTTTATAATTTTCTAAATTATTCAGCGATACGAACAAGAATCCTTAAAAAACTTGTGATATTTTTACATGAAATTTAACATTTTAACTAAACTATATTCCTGTCTTACTGCCTAATCAACGAAAAACGTTTACGATTCGTTACGAATGATATTTTATTATGTAACTTGTTGATGCAATTCAAGGCCACCTTTATTTAGAAAAACTGATCATCGATATTGTTATCGATATGTTAGTGATATATGATAATGTGATATCTCATATTGAAACAGCATATTAATACACGATAACAACTGGAAAATATATTTGATGCCAATATGCGTTGAACATAGTTTCGACTAGAAAATTAATATTTACAAAAAGTAATACGCGTTTTTTACATAATGATATTTCTTACATAACAGATTAATTAAAGATATAGAATATGACTTTGAAAACATATTATTTACATTAATTAGTGCAATTACGTGATGATATTTATGTGACTTACTGACTTAATGAGATATATATATATATAATTATTTTCCGTGACTTACCGACTTTGGTATAGTAATAGCGAAAGACCGTATTTCTTTTGAGGCTCCTTTATTTTTTTCCGGTCCCCAGAATGTTTCAGGTAAATCTGGTACATCTATAGGATTGTTGCTACAACAGAATTAATATTTTTAATCTTCTTTATCGACTTCTTGAATTATATTAATTGCTTATAGTTTCCGCGAAAATATTGAAACAAAAAATCGCAGAGTTATAAATCAAAGATAAAACACTTGCGTTCTCTGATAAAAATCTCTGATAAAATATTTTGGATGAATTTATTTGGGCACTCACCGGAACAAAAAAGCTATACCAATGGTAAGAACCAAAATTACCGTCGTGGTCTTCCACATGACGTACGTCTGTCTCGTCTTACATAGACAGTATAACTGCGTTGAACTGCGAGCGATTGACGGTAATCAACAGTCATCGTAGTCAGAATTTAATGGTAGGGGAAATTCACAGCCTACTTTGTGTGATGCGCGCGCGCGTGTGTGTGTATTTATGCGCATATATCCATAATCTCTTAAGATATTTTATATCATTGTCTAATTTACAATTCCTAAGAGCTCGCACACACCTTTATTATGTTTATTATCTCTCTCTATTTATGTCTCTAAGACTTCTAGTATCTTTTTAATTAAAAAAATTATTATAAATGCTTTTCAACAATTTAAAAAGAAAAAGAAACATACAACTATAATGAATTTTTTCTGTCTTTTGTTCTCCTCCTTTTTTGCTCATTCGATCATAATTTTTTATATTTGTAATCTTGAATAATTCATATTTAAAAAGGATTTACTTTTCCAACATGCATGTCAGTCAATAATATAAATTTATCACTCTTCATTTATTGCTAGTAAACCTGATGTCATTCTCAAGGATATGATTAAAGTCGATCTGGAGACACATGTTCATAGCTGTAGTGGCACACACTATTGTTATAAATTTTTCACCAAAGAAGAAAGTGACAGACAGAAAAGCACATGTAGAATACACAATAACAGACACATTAGAAAAAATGTGTGTCCCTATAAATGTAAACGATCGAAGGCGTGTTAAGTCAGCAATTAAAACAATTTAAGATTGATGGAGAGAAAACGATAACTCAAAATTCGAATGATTCACGAAAGAAAGAACATGAAAAACATACATTTGAAACTCATGAGGTATATGCAATGGATGTACTAGTTAGGGCACGAGTGAAGAGATAGGAAGGGAACACTCGGGTGATAAATATACAAGAAGACAGAGGAGATATATCAGCTTAAATTGAAAGCTGTTCTACTCAAAAGTCTCACAAGCATGATTTCATGCCATTCAATTTACGCACTTTTGAATATGAAATGAAAGCGAAAATTACTGTTGTTGAATGTATAAACTATAGGATTGAGCCATTCCGAGACAGAAACACCGTGTTTGTCTTTTTGTAATAATTTTCTTTGTTCTTATGTATATTTTTTTGATGTATGAATTTATATTGATTAAATTATATCAGTTATTATTATTTACGTATTAATAATCACATCGAGTTCGAAACCTTATTTGTAATTTTGATTGATATTAGACGACTCTTTACTTCTAATATTTTTAAATTATAAAATATATACTATACAATAAATAATTCTGCGATACCCAACAGGTCATTAAATTATCAATTAATTTATTACAATTACATGCGTTCAGATTTTTAATATTGTGCTTCTCTGCGCAATTTATATTTTTTAAATATCCTTCAAGAATATACGCCGTGAAGGCAACAGGTGAATCTCTTAAACTGATTGCTGAAGTACAAGAAATACAACGATTTAAAAATATTAGATTTTTTTATTTTTTGTTTATTATATGTATGTAATTTCCATTACATTTATAACAATATGTGAGTGTTTTGACAGAGTTATATACAAAGAATATCTCACATACCTAATACATCTTCACTTACAGCACCAACACGACGCTCATTATTAAAAATTCTCTTGATTTTTTAAATGGCATTTGAGATGACAGTTGAGGAATTCGCTCGATGGATCCGGAGAAATGTAATTCCGGTTCTATTTTCTTACATATATCGATTATTGAAAAATTCTTGCTACAATTTAAACATTATATTTACAATTTTATTTTATATATACTTAATATAATTTTTTAAATTGAAAGACATCAATGTTTAATATTAATAATCTTTGAGAAATAAACTTACGCATGTGGAACTCAAGGCATAACGCAATTGGTAAACGAATTTCCATCTTGAATGTCAAACTTTTTATAACCGAGTTTGAACATAAGATCTTGTAAAATCGTGCTCATATATATATATGTGTGAAACGGTAGATGTAGAGAAACCAAATCCAGACAAGAATGGTATTATCATTTCATAAAGATATCCTTGTTTAAGACTGGTGTAGTCCATGTTGGACTATCATAAAATCATAAAATACCATAATTGAACTGAACCATTTGTGTAAACACAATACTGGTATATGTTTTTTTATAAGAATTTGATTTTACATGAACAAAATGATTGTTTAATCCTAAAATACAAAATATATAACAATTTAATGCAATATTAAAAATAATAATTTTTCATAATTTTTTTCTCAATTTTTTCTTCATGAACAAAAATCGGTTTTCTTTTTTGAAGTCATAATAATATTACATTTTTTTATTTCTGTCCCTTTTTGTTATATTATATTTCAGAATTTCATTTTGGAAACTTTTTATTTTCAAAAATTGTGTATTAACATTTTACATTATCAAATTTATAAAATATTTGATTTCTTAAGATATGACAAGAACAATGATTATTATTGACAAGAAAATATTTGACGACTTTGGCGAATGTTAAAAATGATGATCTTTATTTAAGTTATTTATAAGATTGATAAAATATAATATTGCCAATTATTTGATATCAAAACAGATGTTTTGGTTTATAAACAAAATAATTTGAATAATATCTAGGATAATAGAGTAGAAGTAAATATAAATTTAAAATTTCCGTTAATTAAATTTATCTTAACTTAAATTAAAATTAAATTTTAATTTTCATAATAATTGAATTTCAAATCAATTAAATTTCAAATCAATAAATTATAAAAATACATGATATGATCATTAAATTATGTTTTGCAATTATTATGTTCCTTACCTCGGATGTTAGTTATAAAATGTGGATATTTATTTATGTATTTCTCACGTTTTGTATTAATTAAATTAGATTTTAATTCAAATTTGTAATTATATGTAAAGAATTACTTCTTTGGAAAAAGTAACTTTAAATGGTATGATATCAGAACTTTTAATATTGGACGATATTGTCGGAGATCTAATTTTAGATGAAAAATATCTTGTTAAATGCATCGAAAAGGGAATTAAAGTAATAGATAGAAAATTGCTCATATTGTTAATGATTTTTTTCACTTATCAAATTTAATAAGCGATGACCACAATTAATTTAATGTAAATAATAATACTTTATATAATATATCTTTACCTAAACACTTCTCTCATACGTACTGAAAATGGTTTGAGCTATTGAATACACTATATGATTTCTTGCTATGTAATGATAAACAAAATTAGATTAGAAGGACTCAGTGAATGAAACATGCTATGTAAATAATAATAAATAATAAATATTGCCCAGTATATGTCCAAACAACATATCTTTAAAAGGCGTCTAAAAACGACTTAAAACATCTTAGTGCTTTTTAGACGTTTTTAAGATGTTATTTTAAGCTTTTTGTGTTTAGGTATCGTATCAAACAAATATGTTTTTAACAGATCTTGAAAAATTTTGAAGCAGCAATATAAACAATACTTATGTAACGAAATTAAATACTAAGTCTTGAAAAATATAAATTAAATCTGCTCGATATTAGAAATATTACACTTGTGTCATTAAGTATCGATCAAAAATCTAATAATTACGTTTCAATACATATATACATATACATATATAAAATATTTTGTAATTAAAGAAACTATGTCATATGACACCATGTGTCATAAAGTATATTAAAGTATACATTAAGGTATTATATATTAAAATTATTTAGTAAAAAAAAAATCATTAAGAAAATAAAGATATATATATATATATATATATATATATATATATATATGGAAAAATAGGATATGGTGTACAACCGTAGGATTCAATTAAAACAATAACAAATACATATATTTCTCGAAATGTGATACAATAGGTTTCTTATGTTGGTGGTCATATCTAATTCTTTTCATGTTTTCCATATTTTGTTTAAATGGATCGGACGATTATTTATATCGAAGACGCGGCTGTGTCCTCTATCTCATTTTCTTACCATTCTATTTGGAGCAAAGCCGGCGGCCGCGTCTGTCGCGCTTGCTATATATAACTTTCTACTATTTTATTTATTACTATCATCGGATTGCAGTGTCAATCATGCTAATGCGCTTTTTATAGGCCAGTAACTTGTGCCGAGATCCACATTATATCGCACATTCAGCATCATTAATGGCGCCGGGCCGGTGTCTGATAGGAAAATAAATTCGATTTATATTAATATCTTGTTTCCTGTTCATGACAAAAAATTATTTTAGATACTTAAAAATCGTATTTTATGTATAAATGTACGTACCAAAAAAAATCGTTTTTCTCTCTTTCAAAATTTCTTATTGCCCTTAATGATGACGAGCATGCGTAAAAAGCAGAACACATGTCGCATGAACTTGATATTGGCTCGCGTTAATCTTCAAGTAGATATTGCAAATAATTAAAAAAATTTTCTTGCAATCTACGATATATCCTTTATAAGAATGACGTGAGAAATTTCGTATACAATCAAACGCGAAATTTCATTCTCGCTATTACGCTTTCACACGCCGCAATATCATACTAATTTCTTCTCTTTAACTCATTGCGTCGGAATTAAAAGCCATGCAATGATTATCTTATCAGATAATGCTAATTTACGATAATAACGATTTCTGAAAAGTAAAATTTTGTGCCGCTACCGAAATTATATACGATCCTAGATCGGTGAAGACATTCGCTAAATCTGTCGACGCAAGATATCGATTCAATAATTCATCGCTTGTTGAATTCATCGTCATATATGCGCAGTATATTCTCTGTCAAAATGTGCAAGGCAATCGTGGAGAATTGTAATGAAATGATTTCGCGCGCGACTTTCGACAAATCATTTTAATGACGATAAATCATCAATCAACAATGAGATCAATGCGTTCGCGCATGAACGTACAATGATCTATATTACATATATATATCTATAAAATAAATTCTACACTCCGATAAAATTACGTATACAATTTTATACGTATATAACGAACATGTATAGTAAAAATATATATGATAAATAATATAGTAAATGAATAGTAAATGAATATCTATAATACGTTCCAAAGAACGAGGATAACGAGAATAAAACGGTATATTTTTGCGCGCGAAATCATCATATTCTGCGATATCTAAAGCGGGTTCGCCGTCGATCAAACGCGAAGTCGAATTAAAATCTCATTATACGATCTGTTGTATCCTCCTGGCCGATAAAAGGATATATGTACAAAACGTTCGCGTTTCGCGCTTGTGCATCGTATGAGAAGAAAACAAGGCCATTACGTATCACCGGTACATCCAAACGTCAAATGAAACTGAAAGTGTCATCCCGTCATTTGTATATAATTACTCTCAAATTTAATAGCGATTAAATTACAAATTCCGCTCGTTATTTCAATTGCCGAATTCACGCTGCTGTAAATGTTTGAAACGCACTGTATATATTCGATTTTTATCATTAAATTTTGTAACGAGAAGAATTAGCTCCCGTTCCAGATATTGTTCCCGATCTCGCATTGATCAATATAGATTCTGTACAATATAGATTCTCATTATATAATTGTTTCGCAAAAAAAGCGCATGTCTCCTAGTCGGTTTTTTGCTCTCTCGATCACCGAGATCTCTTACGGTGATAGAAAAATAAACATCTAAAAACTTAAAAAGAGAAGAGGGGCGGGAAGGAAAGGAGCTAGTGCACACGCGAACCCGTGCAACTAGCTTGCGTTTAAGCACACGATGGTTCGTATTCTCGTGTCGTGTAACATGTAAAAATTTTTTTCTTTTTACCTACGACGACGCCTACGATTAACGTCGACGATGCACGCAGCTATCTGTTTTAGAGACTACGCGATTCGATCGTCGGACACAATACGTTTCATTCCATTCACTCTCTCTTTCTAGCCCCGCGTTGAAGTCTATCAAAGATACAGCGCGTAATCGTCGCTTGTCAGGATGACTCAATGCATCTTAAAATATATTTTACAAGAGGGCATCCTGTACAAAATTTGTTCGCTACGCGGCAGAAGGATATCTTGGGATGGGCCCGTTCATTGTTCGCATCCCGAGCCGCCGACGTGTTGGGCGATTTTACGAAAGAAGAAAAGAATGGAGTCGCGTCGCGACGCCTTTCGCGCACTCCTCGCGTGGCCGGATTGGTTCCCTACACGCTAAAATAGAGATAGATAGGTAGATCGATAGTGAGCGAATAAATGAGAGAAAGAGAGAGAAAGAGAGAAAGAAAAGAAGCGTTGAAAAAAACAAAAACACGTATATATCATCTATCTTACGATTAAAACAACTAGAATCACTTGTGTACCATCACCACGTGGGATACGCTACAGTAATTAACGCATTTTCGGAGAACCAGGATAATTAATCCGTGCGCGGAAAAGCGTCGTATTCTCCCAGCCTTCGCTCGCCTCCGCTCCATGTCGATTTAAATGGTATAGCTCTTTTACGTGTGGCAGTGCTTAACGCCGACGAGATTCGCTTTTTCGTCGCCGAATAAGGGGTACGATCTCGAATTTTATGTGTTATTAGACAGCTGATCCTCGTCGTAATTCAATTTCTTTGGAATATGGTACAATAAGAATTTAGAGAGACTCGGCTGGTCGCGAAATCGGCGTATCTCGTCGAACGCTGCATCCGCGAATTTATGTGACATTATGATCTCCTTCCTCAGATGCAGATATTTGTGTATGTATGTATGTGTATATGTATCTGTATATATATATATATATATATATATATATATATATATATATCCGTATATAACGCGCGCACGCAAATGTATGTGTGTATTTGTATATGTGTGTGTGTATATAATCTAACTATACATATAACTATTTACAAGAGAAGGAGGTTCCTCTAGAGCGGGACAAGGAGCGAGGACTCGACAAGATTTTTATTCGCGAAAGTAAGAAAGAGAGAGAGAGCGAGAAAGAGGAGAGGAGAGAAAGATAGAAAATAAAGGTGTCTTTTCAAAGATTTTTCATTTGTCGGCTCTCTAGGACGGCGGCAGTCGGGGAGTTGGTATATTCGTCAATGTGCTCTGCATTCTCTTGGCTTCTCCGTAAAGACGCGAAGACTGCTATGTGCTGCGACTATAAGCGAGGGGGTTGCAGCTGTGGTGTTATACACCCTCGTGTTTTTCTTCTCTCTTTCTCCGTTTCTCTCTCTCTCTCTTTCTGTCTCTTTCTTTTTCTCTTTATGTCTCTCTCTTTCTTCGTGTATCGCTCGAGCTGATGCATGACCGAGGACGGGATGTTAGACGTCCGTGTACTTGCTCAGTTTGTCGCGCAGCAACATGTTCTCGTTTTTTAACCGGTCCAGCTCCTGTCGCAGACCCATGTTCTGCAAATGAAGCGAGAAGTGAAGATTCGATTAAATCTTTCTCTTGTATGTGCATGAGAACGATGAATGTTGCATTTTGATTCTTCATTGGGTATTTGCGGAAAAAAAGGAACTGTAGACAAATTGATAAGAGTAGTTTATTATTCGGAAACAGTTGAAGTGACCATATTTTTTTCCACTTCAATGAAAGAGCTCAGCGAAGAGAAACACCGTAGGTGGTTTCGAATTTCCGTGAGAAAACTCACCTCTTTCTCGAGGAAGCCGGCCCTGAGTGCTATCTGGTTCTCCTTCATGCGGCGCGCGTCTCGCGATCGTTTCGCTGCCATGTTGTTCTTCCTACGACGCGCCCAGTATTTGTCATCCTTCAAGTCATCCGGAACGAACTGCGGCCGCAAACGGAAGCGAGAGAGAAAGAGAATATAAGAATGTTCGTATCCAATTATGTCGCGAGAAATCGTATCGTTCGAGATGCGAATTCGAATTTATCGGGAAAACAACCGATATGAAACAACGAAAGAATAGCGCGCCAATGGAAGCTCACCTGTTTCCGCGATTTCTTGATCATAGGTTGAGGTTTGAGCTCCTCGTCGGAGAAGGCCCGGGTACGTGGATCGAAGTCTCGCCCCGATGAGGCCATCGAGAGCGCTACAAGAGACAAGCCATATTGTATTCGTGACGAGTCCTCGGAATCTATCGCGCGGAAGAGGAACAATCGACAATGTCGACGTTAGTCTACATTTGCTTTCGTGTACTCGACAAGCACGTTATCGCGATACAGATTCTGAGATAGCGTGTATTTCTTTTCTTTCTCCCTTTTTAAGAATTATGATTACATCAGTATCTCGTTTCGCTATACTTTTCTTCCATCACTCTATTTATATGGTTTGTTTACTCTCGATACAAACGTCATGACTTTCTGTCTATCCCTCATTTATTTTATGCTCGTGCAATTAATTTTATTTTTCTTATTTTTATATATATTATCAAGCATATTCATTCTTCTCGAGAGTGTTCTAGATATTTTTCGATAAATAAATTAATAATACATAACAAAAAATATTAAAAATTATGCAAAAAATATATAAATATAAATATAAATATATAAATATATTTTTTGGAATTATATATATGAAGTCGCATGAACACTTCTCAGGATCTCGATATCGCGAGCGACGGCTACGACGAGAGAACAATAAGAGAGCAAATTTTTTACTTACTGGAATCCGCGGGAGAGGGTGGGTTCAGGGTGTCTGGCGAACAGCATTCGCTCGGCGATGGTGACCTCTCGCGTTTAGTGACTGGTTCCAAGTGGAGACCCGCTGGTCCCTGGTGTCCGGCGGCCTCGGTATTGTTGATTTTATGGAGCTGGCTACCCTGCATGGCACCTTGTCCACCACCAGCCACGCCGTCGACGGGAATACCGTTTTCGGAAAGAAACTCGTCGAGATCGACGTACTATTAACAATAATTCGAGATGTTATTTCCGAGATGGTTTCTCGGAATTTTATCAATTTTAAGCAGGGCCTATATCTCTTACATTCCTAGATAAGTTTGGATAGATTTTAAATCGGTACTATGATTAACGAGAATTCAACAATGTCTTTTACATTAACTTTAAGAATTGAGAATTGTCTATTAAAATGCACACTCGGATAATATTTTGCCTAAATACTTTAAAGATAAAGTTTATAAAAAGTTAATACGAATAGGAAAATTATGCCTGCATTCAGTGTAACGTGTTGTCATTTTTCGAAAAAAATACTTGGTATCATTAGAAACTTTTGTGACAGTAATGAATAAAAATTGCAATATTTTTTTGCGAAAAATATTTTCGCATTCTCCGTCTTTATTTTGCACGTTTACGATTTTGCTGTATTTCTTTATTGAAATTTAAGCGGCGTGTCGCAACGGAAGGAATGGTGAAAGTTGGCGAAAGGTTTATAAAGAATTTCATGCTTTTCCGAAATTTGCGTTATTCATATTTTGCAAACAAATGTTTTAATCATTGAAATATTTTGATATAAATTAAGGCAACATAAATGAAAACATTTATATAATGTTACATCTAATTGAAATTGTAAAAAACATTATTGTTGATGAGATAGATAAATTTTTTTTTATTCGAGAATTTAGAAAATCATAATTTTTTAACTTTAATTTTTTTCAATTATTTAGATAATTTTGCTAAAGATAATAATGGAAAAAATAGCAAAGAATAGCCGAAACTTCTCTTCTCGATTCCGCCGAAGCATAACGGAGAAAGCGGCCGCTATCGTCACGATTGCATAGCGGCTTAATATTCGGTTTCCCGGTTTCTCGATCCAGGAAAGCGAATTATAACGGAGTAAGTGTTACAACGGGGCGATGCAGTGGTCCGCTACATCGGTTTCTACATTCTATTACGTAGCGTGTACACATACAACAATTTCCGGAATATATGAAGTTCACAAACTACATCTTCGAAACTGACGATATTTAGAGAAAATCTTACAGATCCACGCAAGTAATTTGAACGCATTAAAAATATCCGTGTAAATGGTGAACATGAGTTTGAAAAGAATATGGAAATCATTAGTCATCGATAAATAGTTAATAGATCAAGTCAAGAGTTATAATAAACAATCAGTTTCGTTTTCAATTTTCGGAATTTTGGGGTTAGATTCAGCCAAATTGAAGGCTTACCGTGTCGCACCTTTATACATACATGGTTTAATACCTTCAGGTCGGCATCATAGGGCAGACTTTTGTCCCAGAGAGTTGGCCCGAGGAAGGCGGCCTGCGCTTCCACGTTGCCCCAAAGTTCGCCATCGGCATCCTTCTTTTCCTCTGGTCCATCTTTGCCCTGTTTCCCTGAAAATTGAATTTCAATTCTATTAATTCTAACGATATTTAATTTTAATTATATATAATACAATATCTCATAAAATGTAGAAAATAAATTCGGGCAACATAAATGAGGCACATACACACACACTCATAAATAATGTAAATATCAAAACTTGAATTGTCAAATAGATTGGATATATACATAATTAGTGAGATTTTATTTTTTTACTGCACAAATTTGATGGTATCTTTTTGAAAAGAATGAAAGGATTTCACAATTTTTAAGCCACTAACTCTTTATTTTTACGAATCGAATCGGCATTTTATGTAAAAATCTGTTCTACTTTTGCGAGAAATTACGTTCACATGAGTATTTAAATCACGAAGAATTCATGATATACCGTTAAAAACTTTTAACGATATATGCTGACTATATTAAGAATGCTATTGACAGCAGTCTGTAGACTCTACATTATTCTCTTGCTTTTGTAATGCATTCTTCCCCAAAATTCTTTCGGTATATGATATACATAATACATTTTTCTTAAAATTCGAGACTTGTCCTGCAATGTAATGACGAGTTTTAACCATCTTGCAGATTTGTTTTTAGCATTCCTTCTATATCTTTAGTATTCCTTTACAAAGAAGAGCGAGTTTAAATTTATGCTAAATATTACCGAGAATTATACGAATTATATTTATAGAAGAATTTTTGAAATCTAATAAGCATTTTGTAAAAAATATGATTTCTTAAAAATATATCTGAGTTTTCTATTATTTAATCGACAACGTTGCCGTTGTATCAATTTTTTATCACATTTCTTACAACTGATTCTGAAATTCTTCGCGGAAAAAACGAGGAAGAAGAGTATAAAGATAGTCGGTAGCCTTGAAGATGCTCATCCAAAAATAGTTAGCTAACCAGAACCATCATCTTTCATCTTCTTTTCTTTATCCTTTTTTCTCTTTATCCTTTCGTTCTTTCAGGATATTATTATATCAATTATTCTTAATAACTGCATTTAGTTATTAATAGTTGCATCGAAAAAATAATCGTGAAGTAACTATCACGTCGTGTGTATTTTTCAACTTTGCGTGAATAAGATTTGACAAAATTGTTTGATCACTTAGATTCGTGTTTCTACTTCGAGAGTCTGGGGAGTGTTCGGGTCGGCTGTCAAGGCTATGAGAACATGCTTTGTCACGTAATGATGTGTGTTAATTGCTGAGACATCGAATGGAAATAACAAAGATGACGTTACGATGACGATAATAATTATAGTGATGATGGTGATGATGATAATTATAACGATATCAATAATCTATAACAATAATAATGCTAATCGCTAACTATATTTGATAGCAAACACAATTAGATAGTGATAAAAATATGCTACGAGAAATGAATAAAATTCATAGATTTCGAGTACAAGTTGTCAAGCGATTCCGTTCGGTTCGAAAAAATCGGTCAAACTGTACATTTTTTTTCGAGCTATACGTCGAGTAAAAATATCCTCGTATAGTGTGAAGTAACTTCATTCGACGGTATGCTAATTCTCGCCACCTCGCTACCTTTTCGCTTCAGTTCACGGAATATCAGCTTCGCTCTCGCGCATACGCTTCGCCGAGGTTTGCGGTTTCTGGCGTGCCAATGCGCTCTATTCAACTATTGTTGCAGTCGTGCCTGTAAATTCAAGGCTACACTCACAATACCCGCGTCCTGTCGCGACAAGTGTGCAAATATACATTTGCGCAACATCGCGATGGATTTAGGATACGCGACATGAAACTTTTCTTTTTCAAAAAGCTAACAAGATCCTTGACTAGATTGGCAAGTTGTCGCATATCGAGATATCTTTTCGATTTTAACGAGAGTGTGATAAACTGAGGACCCTTTGATCGAAAATAATCGATGACGAGCATCGATCCGAGAGAAACAAGGGGAGCGAGATCGCGATCGAGCCGCGCCTATTGCTGCTCTCGTAGCGTCGCCTTAGGTGCTTCCGACCGAGATTTCTATGCAGCGTGTACGCTGGCTAAACAACTAAACAACGGCAGTCCGTAATTTGGTTCAAGGCTGACTCGTCGGCCGACCGACTAGCTCCGCGGAATTAATCTCGTGTTGCGGGACAGCACCGTCGAGCGAACGGGCAGGAAGAGGGGAAGGGGGAGGGACAGCGTGTCTCGTTCGATGGCGCGTCGGGTACGATGTAATCGTGGCGGGGGATCGGGGGGGATCTTCCTGATTTTATCCATTCATTCACCGAGAACTGCATTTCCGTACTCTCTGTCCGTCTCTTTCTCTCTCTTTCTCACTCTCTCTCTCTCTCTCTTGTGCTCGCGTCCCCATTTGTCCCTCGTTTGTTTACAATGGTCGACCCTTGGCAATAGGCAACTACTATCACTATGCACGCGGTAGCGGAAATATGCAATTTCTATGCAGACTCGGCGCGAGTATGCGTATCCTAGAATCTTTCTTTTTCGCAAACTTTATATGCTTAGTATTTATGTAAACGATTTATTTTTGTAACGCGAACCCAAGGCAGGTTACATTTAAATTAATACATATTCAATGAAATGTTTATTTTGCTTATTTGATCGTTTTACATCGTCAAAAAATCTGATTTATTTTTTCGTTCACTTTCCTTCGTTTTACTTGAATTCTGTTTGATTTATTAATTTTTCGAATTAATATTAATATTCTATTAATTATAGCACTTTCAAAGAGATAGAGAGGAAAAAGAAATCGCATTTATCTATACAAGAGTTAATAACAATTTACATATTTATTATTGCGCGTTATTATATCTTATCAGAATATGTGTATGTATGTAATTATAAATTAAAAAAAGAATGTTAAATAAATGCATTATTTAATTCTTGGCGATTTTATTCGTAAGAGAAATTAATTATTATTTTATAAATTACAAATAATTTTACCGTATATTTCCACTTTCATATTTAATAATAATTCCCATCTGTACATAAATTTAATAAATTTATATACATATATGTTAAGTAATCATATAAGAAATAATTATAGACGTAAATGATAATTATACGACTATTAAACATCAAGATATGTAAAAGACTTGAAAGTTTCATTGACATTACTAACGTTTATTTGCGCAAACGTGCAACGCGAATTAGCCTCTAACGCGGTCAAGACAGTTGCATTTTGTTAATTGCACCAATAGATAAAAGTCGCGAAGATAACGAAGTTAATTACAGCGGACATAAACACGCTTATATCGCACATGTTCCACTTCTTGACTTGGAGATATTTATATACTGGACTATAGTACATGACAGTAAAATAATTTTTCATTCAAGTTAACGGATATATAACGTTCACTTGCCAATATTTCGTGCGAACTAAAAATCATCAAATAGAAAATCAGAGTCTTGATGAGATGCGTAAGAACGTTAGAGTCTCCGAGGTGTGTAGCTATTACACAAACGTGACATTGAAAAAGAAATTTACCACGTCTCTCCTCGCGACGATCTCTCGGCAATCTCCGGGAATGATAGATCGGCTAATAAATCGTCGAGACTTAAACGCTGCTGAAATGTTGAAAACAATAAACCCGTTGCAATACGAGCGGAAAATTGCTTCGTTATTTAGATAGTCGCCTTGGTAATTCGCTCTTAAGATTATGCTTACGGTGAAGGTGACAAAACCGCATCGCATCGCTACGGTCTACCGCACATCTATATCTGTCGTCGCGAGTTTATCGATTTTCGCGAACGCACGTTACATCATTGCTCGCGACTCAAAATTTCAGTTTCACTCCTCGACTTTCTCGATCTTGCTATCTTTTTAAACAATTTGCCTTTCGCGGAGCAATATTCATATGGATGACGCTGAAGGATGTATAAGTCGAGTTCGGAAATCGTTCTTGCTCTTATTCTTTTTTTCCCAAAGTCGCCGTCCAATATCGTTCCTCGTTTATGTAATCGACGACACGCGAATGTCTAGGCAGGGGAACACGCAAGGGTGTCTCGCGAATATTTTTTCTGGCCACACTCCTGTCTTCTTTCTCGAGAAACTCTCGATATAATGACTATAACTCGTCAACGCCTAAATGTACTTCTCTCAGAGTACCAATTCATTTTACCAGTGCCATAAACGATGGCTGGGCTCGAGAACGTTTTAGAAAATCGAGGTGGAGATCGACTCGCTTGCGTGAAGATACGCTTTGATTCGTTATCGATTTAGATGCGATGTTATAAACTTTCATTCCGAGCTCGTTAGTTTGAGATGAAGCTGGAAACGTCGATTGTACCACAAAGAGCAATGGTTCCCTGCTACAATGAACACGCCGTCGATAAACCTTTCTCAATCAATCGAATCTACGACACAATAGCTCATGGGATAGGCTGCCCGGTCCAAAATAACCATTAACCAAGGCCGCAGGAAACCTTCTCCAAACAAATGCGATTGTTTAGCCATCGCCGACTTCGCTGCCGTCGCGACTCCATCGTTGCGATCTATTTCCGCGATTGAAATCGCGAGATAGTCGTTTATAACATTATAAACATTTCACCGCAGCCAAGCTAATCAGATTCAGATTTTAAAAGATGGAATTCTATCAACCGGAATCGTGAAATAATTTTTTCAAAAAACGTACACGTAAATGTTTTATAACATGATTATTTTCTACATTTTTGAGAGATTAATTTTAAATTTTGAAAGAAAATACGATTTGCAGATATATCAGGGAAATAAAAAAAAATCAAAGGACTCGAGAGAAATTTAAAATAGATTTTTAAAGTTACATAATTTATTCCATATAATTTAATTATAGTCTTTATCGATCCTCTGTGAAGGAAAATAATAAATAAACTCGGTGGATGGTCGACGAGCGGAATGTCAAGTTCTGAGACAGTACTTTCTTGCGGTCAACTATACTCGGAAAGGAAAATCAAAAGGCAACGCGACGCGGAATACGCGATAAACGAGAGGGACTTGACTTACGATCTGTAAATCTCGCGCCGCGCGTTGTCAGTACTCGGATGATTTG